CCATAATTTCACGGCTGAAGAATTCACCACATTCCTGTGCCGTGTTGAAGCTGTACTGAACTCCAGGCCACTTTGCGCACTCTCATCGTCACCTGATGACGACTTTAATTACTTGTCTCCTGGCCACTTCCTCACAGGAGACCTCCTGCTATCACGACCGGAAGAAGACATCTCGGAAGAACCCTTAAACTTACTCTCACGCTGGCAGCTAGTTTCTCGTGCCTCTCAACACTTCTGGAAAAGCTGGAGAAGAGATTATCTCCATACTCTTATCCAACGCCCCAAATGGACTGAGAAAACCATCAACCTTAAGGAAGGAGACTTAGTTTTAATGTACTCTAATAATACTGACCCTTTGACTTGGCCCCTAGGTAGGATAATTCAGGTTATGCCAGGATCTGACCAAGTTGTAAGAGTTGTTAAAATCAAAACCCCTGTAGGTATTGTAACACGCCCTGTAAATAAGTTAGTTCATCTCCCTATGGTTTAGATTGTGTTACCTTTGTCTTTTTGTACATATTATCAACATTTTGTATTATCTTTATAGTTAGGTAACAGGTTTGTTTCATGATGACGGTTATTATCCAAGGTTTTTGTTTTAAAGATTTACAGTTTCTTTAATGTTCTTTAATATTTTCAAAAAAAAAATGCTTTTTTGGGTGGGGGGAATGTTCGGTACTTATTAAAAGTCCCTAGATTGGTGCTACCCTAACCTTGCCCAACGTTATCTACGGCGAATCGTCCCCACTCCGACTACTGGAAACGCTACTCACTAGCATTGCCGACGGCGTCATGGGCAGACGTCCGCTACATTTTCCTACATAACTTTACATAGACTTTCATTTACTCATTAATTCAATTAACTTCATTTCTGTCAGTTTTAAGTTTTTTTTTCAATATATCAGTCATTTTTTAACTTCAACTTCAGTGCTAGTCATTTCCCTTGTTGTTGCCCCCGCACCCTTGGTCTACACCGCTGCTGTCTACACCGCTTCCATCCCCTGGACTACCCACTACCTTGGACGAGACGGACGTCATCCACCTTCAAGACATCCGACAAGGTAACGGTAGCACCAGTATTAATTTTGTTGTTCAAACCGCCGTACGGCTTTCCGTTAAAGACCGTACAAGTGGGTTTTACAGATAATTCTCAAAACACGTTTTTGAAGTAGAAAGATTCTATTTGCCTCACTACAGTTTCCCCAGAATGCAATTCCATAGCAAAGTACACTGTGGAAGCAGCCATAGTAAACTTTCAACAGGACATCTCTTTCAACTATGTTTATCAGTCTTCTTATAAGGCAACACACGACCGTTAGTCTGCTGGCAATTTTGTTGATATGGTCAAACCACCGTAAGTTGCTGCTAATATGGATTCCAAGGTATTTTACGCTATCGCTTGGTTGTATATTCTGATCATTGATTTTAAGTAATGGACTGAAGTCTGGGATCTTTGTATTGTAGAATTGGAGTAGGTTAGTCTTTCCCTGATTTAATACTAACATATTTTCAGAGCACCAATTACTCATTTCATTTATACCAGATTGTGTTCTTTCAATGGCATTTTTAACATTTACATCAGTGATTAAGTGACAACCGTCATCAGCAAACATCCATATTCTGCCTTCATGTATAGATTCAGGTAGGTCGTTGACAAATAAGAGGAAGAGGATCGGTCCCAGATTCGAACCTTGGGGAACTCCGGTATTAATGTTGTGTTGAATCTTAGATTTATAGTGCCTCAATACTCCATCATCACCCATGTGTTTCACTGTAACAACTTGAGATCTGTCTTTAAGGTAGGACATAATCCATTTAAGGGGCTCGTCTATTATGCATAGGTTGATCAGCTTTCTTTCTAAGGTCTCGTGGTGTAAACAGTCAAAAGCCTTTGTCATGTCATAGAATAGGCTGAAAACCACTTCTGAGCAGTCAATTCCGTTATATACTGCAGTTAGCAGGGCAAAAACAGCATCTGTGGTTGACTTCTTTTTTTGGAAGCAAAATTGACTATTTGATAGGATGTCATGTTGTTCTAAATATGGGATCAGCCTGCGTAGAAAAGCTACCTCAAAGATTTTTGAGAACACCGATTGTACGGCTATGGGTCGATAGTTACCCACTACATCTTTCTCATTTTTTTTGTGGATGGGGACTATTTTCGATGTTTTTATCCTATCTGGGAACTTGCCTTCATTGAAGGATTTGTTTATTATAAGCGATAGTGGTTTAGCCACAACTGACACAGATGATTTTAATACATGGCAGGGTATGCCGTCAATACCAGCACTAGGCTTAATACAAATTTTCTTTATAATTTCAGCTATCTCATCTTCACTCGTTGGTTTAAGTTTCATGTGAAAGCGAGGTTTCCCACTTCCAGTAGCTGCTTTATTTGCTGAATCATTTGTTCCAACTAAATTTGTCACTTCCTCATAAAAATACTTGTTGAAGGCATTAGCCACTGCAACAGGGTTGTCTACAATGTCCTTTTGTTCCTTGAGTATTATGTTGTTGTGAGTTATCGTGTCCCGGGTAAGTCCATGGACTATCCTCCATGACTCCTTGCTTATATTCTGTGATTTCATGATTTTGTTTTTGTAGTGTTCTTTTTTGCACGATGAAATCAGTTGTGAGTGCAGTTTTTTTGCCGTATTATATTGGTTTTTAGTACAAATATCCCTCGTTTTGCGAGTTTCCCAATAGAGTTCCTTCAGTCTTTCATTTGATAGCCTAATCTCATCATTTATCCACTTAGAATCATCTTCATTTTTCACATTTACAAGTTGTTGAGGAAAACATATAGAAAAATTATGTACAAAACTATCATACAATTCATTAAACAACTCGTCAGAGGTACCTTTTCCATCTTCTAGAAAGTTTTCTTGTTCCAGGCGATATAAAAATTCTTCCATCCCGGACTTGGTAATTTTATTCTTTTCTATTTTTAGGCCGACATTCTTTCTCTGTTCCACAACTACATCAATAAACAGCCAATCGTGATCAGACATGGAAGTAGCCACCGTGCCATAGTCCGTGGACTCTATCTCGTCATTTAAAATAATATAATCAATTTGTGTAGAAGAGCTTTCTGTCACTCTGGTGTCCATCGTTACTATATTTTTGAGTTTGTGCGAGTCCAAAACATCATACAAACACCTTCTATTCAGTGAATCCTCCTTACCGTCAATGTTGATATCACCACATATAATGAGTGGTAAGTCAAAAGAATTTAGCTGATTTAGCAAGTCTTCCAGCACATGCTTGTCTTTACTACTTCCTTCACCACTTCCTACGCCGCAAACCTGTTTCCCCCTCTTCCCATAGCATTTTAGGATTGCAGATATCTTAATTTAATATAATAAATAGGTTACATACCTTATAAATCCGACAAACAGCTCATTTTAATTGAAGGTCGTTTACATGTTTCGGCTTGTATCGGCCATTGTCAAAACATCGCAGTTGGATGGTGAAATCCTTGTCATTGTTTTCTACTAAAAGTACATACACAAACACATACACACGGACGGGACGAACGTTGTCTGCATCCTGACCTTGAGAACGGTGTGCGTGCGTCCTGCCCATGTATTTAATAGGCCTATTTAAAGTATTTTTCGTTTTTCGTAATGTTTTCGTCCCGTCCGTGTGTATGTGTTTGTGTATGTACTTTTAGTAGAAAACAATGACAAGGATTTCACCATCCAACTGCGATGTTTTGACAATGGCCGATACAAGCCGAAACATGTTAACGACCTTCAATTAAAATGAGCTGTTTGACGGATTTATAAGGTATGTAACCTATTTATTATATTGAATACAACAGCTCAGGAGCTAGAATGGAAATGAATTTTAATCTTAATTTAATCGTCAAAAACAGTTCCCACACTTCAGACTTCTCGCCTTTACTACTTCAACCGGACTAGATCGGCAGGAAGTAGGCGGTACTGTAATTACTGTTCTCTTGGGAAAGATTTGAGACCAGTGATCACATGTCTAAATACAATGCTCTCCTAAATTTAAGTCGAATATCACCGTAAACGGTCCATTTTAATGAGTTTTTGGGAACGTCGGCTTTAACCGGAAAACCCGTTATCCGGACTGGCCTCGGTCCCAAGGAGTCCGGATAAGAGGGAGTCTACTGAAGTGACTTTAAGTGTCTTGTCATTGTTGAACACACACAGATTAAGAAATACCATTTACACAATTTTCTCGATAGGCCTACCATATTTAATTTTGCAAAGTTTATTTCTAGGCCTACATTGGTGCAAATTATCTACAAATATTTCTGGGATGTGTACAGTAGGGATTAAGCTCACTCCTAACTCAGATTAAACTGAAGTGTATTGTGTGGATTTTTATATTTTATATGATTTTTCCAGGTTCTAAACTCTGGGTCAATAATCTTGGAAAGGTTTGGTATTGTTAGGTTCTCTAATGTTGTTATATCTGTTATCCTGCAAAAAGTTAAGGTAACAGTCACATGGCTATAACAGGGTGTCCACAAAAAAATTGTCATTAATTTCCATGACTTTCCATGACTACCCATGACCATTTACCATTGATTTCCATGACTCACGAACTTTACACACAAATTATAATATAACATACACACACAAATAATACTGCCTGGACATGTTATTTTGCATAAAATACTGAAATATGTAATAACAGATAACAATGGAGTACAATAGGCACAACAATGAACTAAAACAAACCGAAAACTCATAAAATAATACAACTGTAATAAATTGAATTGTCGAACATTTGTGAAAAATCCTGAAAAATGGTACAACAGTCGGGGTTACGGCCAACTACAGCATTGAATGGTCCCCTCAAATCCATCCATAATTGGAAATTTCCATGACTTTCCATGACTTCTTGCCTATTTCCCTGACTTTCAATGACCAAAATTTTTTCCCATAACTTTTCATGACTATCCCTGACTTTCCAGAATGTGGACACCCTGCTATAAAGTTAATAAGATGTAATTTATCCTGTAGGTTATGAAGGAGTGTGAGGATGGCATTTTGAAGCTCAAGGATGGACAGGAAGTGACGTTAAAACCTCTGGAAGGGGAGGAGGAAGAGAAGTTCTTAGAGTCTGCCCGCAAATCCATCCTGGACCGTCGATCTAAACATAACAAGCCAGGCAGAGGACGACGTGGGGGAGGTAGAGGCAGGGGTAGGTTGGAAATATTCACTTTAGACCAATCAGTGGCAATGGTTGACTATAAAAAAATCAGGGGGTGGGGGAACAATTGGAAAAGCATGGGTTATATTTGGATCATCTTCAAATGGTCCAAAGTCGTTTGGTCCACAGTTTATATTGCCGTTCGTTTGGTCCAAAATCGTTTGGTCCAACAGTTAAAAACTCGTTCGTTTGGTCCAAAATCGTTTTATCCAATTTCATTTGGTCCAAAATCGTTTGGTCCACAGTTTATATTGCCGTTCGTTTGGTCCAAAATCGTTTGGTCCAACAGTTTAAAACTCGTTCGTTTGGTCCAAAATCGTTTGGTCCAACAGTTAAAAACACGTTCGTTTGGTCCAAAATCGTTTGGTCCAAAAGTACAGGCCAAACTAGAAGTAAAATGTTGCATTGTAGAGTAAACTTATGAAATATACTGTACGTTTATATTGCCGTTCATTTGGTCCAAAATCGTTTGGTCCAACACATTAATACGAGTTCGTTTGGTCCAAAGTATAAACTATTGCGTCCCTCACATTGAAGGCGTTCAAATATCCGCCGTCATATACAATAATAATATTAATACAATTTTTGCTTTAAACATGTTGACTTTCTATGTTTTTAACGTTAAGACGCCATGTTTTCTTGTATTCAAACCACTAAAGCGTACATAAACAAACTTAAAGCTCAATAGTGTATCATACGGTTTGAAATCTTATAAATTAACAGTTTTAATCACATTTGGCGACCTTCTAATATACAGAGTGTTCAGTGGACCAACGTGTTTTAAATGTTTATCATACACCTTAATTTGTATTGTTGTACCGGTACCTATTTACAATGGAGTGTTTACTATTGATCATGATTGTCTATAATTCTTAATCAAAAGGTTAAAATATAACATGAAAATTACATTAATTAGCCTACTCATATTTTCTGGACGACCACAATTTCCTGGTAAAAATTTTGTCTTACAGAATTATATATAAGGATCTTATTTTCTTATTTTAAATTGATGTTCTTCTGTATAATGTCATGTTTAGCAATATAACGTTCCATTACGAACAGTTATATAATCTTAATATTACAGTAACTCTTTCAATCATTTCTTATTGCATTATGTTATATCTATTGTACTGGTTGGTGTCTGCCTTTTTGACTACTTTTGCCGATATTTTGTCTTATTATTGAAGACCGACAGATCATCACGAGATTATTGTAATAAATGTGTATTCAATCATTGGACAATTTCCCATTATGTAATACGATACAGAATAATAAAAGTGCAGAAGGCTTTTACAGTCTATGAAAATGAATGTTAAATAGGCTACTTTTATTGAACATAGACATATCATGAAGGTACATGAATTATAGGTCTACTCTTTGTGATATGCATAATTGTCTGAGACAAACATTCAGGCACGTTGCCCATATTAACTAAAGAAGTGTTGCGCATGTATACTGGCGCTACTCAGGAACAAAAATCATTGATCTCTCAAAGTTACTTACCCAGATGGTGACATCAAAAAGGCCCAAACTCCATACTGTACTATAAACAGTTTCTCAGGCCAGAGTCAATATAATGCACTTGAATTGTGGCATCTATTAATTCGGCTTATATTTCTCGTAACCAACAGATTGTTCATCAGCAGAAGAAGTTCAGTGTGCTCTTATCGTGTCTAATGACATCCAAACACAGAAACCTTAAATAACAGTAGTACCTATATCTTGACGGATGGTTTGCAGTAGCATGTTACCTTTTGTACGATATTACGGACCAACACAACAGCAAATCCTTCAATAAAACACTTCACATAAATCTGAAGGGCAGCTCCTGATTTTATGACCTCTTTAGTGTGTATATTGCATCCGTGTTGTTTAGTAAGTTCAACGCTAAAAAACTTTTATGACATTCTAATTTCAAATTGTATCTTTCAATTAAAGGAACGATTTCGTCCATAACCGTTGGCACTTAAAGGTATTCATGTAGAGTTCTATTGGTTACATACCAAGGTGCATTAGCTATCTTACTCAGCATTTTGGATTGGTATCTTTCTATAATTTCGATATTTTACCGAGCACCAAAGTTGCACACCGTATCTCCATATTGGTTTCAATATAGTTTTGTACAGGAATTATTTCTTTTCTTGATCAAGTTTTGATTTTCTTCCGTTGAGCCAATTCAATTGATTGCATTTAAGATTTAGTTGTTGCCGTTTTCTCCAAATGTGTGTTCAACTTAGTGTACTTCAGTAAGTTGGGTGTTGTTTATTGTGACAGGAAAACAAGAATTTAGATTTACAGTAAAAGACCCCCACCGCAGCAAACCTGCTGACCAAGTGAATTTCAACCTATCTCATTACATTTTTACTAAAATATTTCCATAAATAAGACATATTTATTCCCAATTTCAATAACACATTAGATTTAACAAGTGCTTAGATTTGCTACTACGGAAAAATAAAAAAGTTTAAAAAACAGTGTAAAATAAGATTTAATTCCAATAAATTTACCCATCAAAAACTTTTAACTTAATAATTACACAATAGTATAATTCTTGCCTATTGCCGAAAATGAAGTTTTGCCGACTCGAAATATTTTTAAAACAATCGAGAACTGCAAAACCATTATTTATTTTGTCCCTGGTACGAACACTATTTTTCACCACACTACTACTATCTATCTATATCTATAAAAGAGGAACTATGTATGTATGTATATATATGTGTGTGTGTATATACGTTATGGATTCCGAAACCGCTCGACAGATTGTAATGAAACTTTCAGGCATTATTAAGCATCTTTCAAGGATGGTTCGAGTGAAGTTTGGTGCAGATCCGTTAAAAGGGCTCTGCCCCAGAGGGTTTTAAGTGGGACAATGTCAGACTTTTTGATCTAGAATGTTTACAAATAAATATAATTTAAAAGCAGATGATTACTTTCACCAACTGTTTTGTACGTTTGAATAACTACAACATTCTGTATTAGCATTAGTCATGATTTGAAATAGTGCCACAGTGTTTCTACAGATTGCAGCACAGAAAACTATTTTACATTTGAATAAGTCCAAATGTATTAAACCCCAATCGCAGCACACCTGTGCACTTAACAACGTTTAAATTCTCCAATGTTAAATATTAAAACATAAAAACCCTTATAAAAGTACTGTATTATAAACAATAAAAGGGATGACTTTTTTAAATGTATGACAACAGCTAATTTGCAACCAAAAGGTGAGTGAGCTTAGCGAACGAACATCAACCTGGAGGCGAGTAAGCGTAGTGAACGAGCTAACCTGAAAACAAGTGAGCGCAGCGAACGATTTCCAACCTGAAGGTGAGTGAGCGTAGCGAACGAACTTCAACCAGGACGTGATTGAGCCATGCAAATACTTATGAAGTTAAGCGGGGCAAAGCCCGCGGGTACAGCTAGTTCACAATAATAATTAATGAACACTGATAATCAACTCAACTTTAAGGTTATGCGAAGAAGTAATTTCAGGAATAAGCAAAAATAATAATAAACCGTTGCTAGGCAACGGTGAAAATAAAACAATTCTATTGCAATGCTGTGGATACTGTTTGTGTATTTAATATGCAAGCGGGCAACTGATTTTGCGGCCCTAGGGATGTAAAAACCTGCTCGGTCCCCAAATGACGATTACAGCTTGGCATGGCCAGCAAAACGTAACTTTCAGCCTCTAATTAACGTATGTAAAAAAGGTAATAACATCATAGTGTGGTGAAAAAAACATTTTCAAACAATAAAACAAATAAAAAACTCAAAGCTTTTACTTACTTTTCAATGATAAAATCATACATAGTCAAACAATAATTTACAACATATGGTCTGGTTAATATTACGGGTTGAATGAAAAGAAACATGTGAACTTGCTTCTAAAAAAAACATTGCTCACTTAGTATTGATTATAAAAATATTATAAAAACAACGAACAAACCACAAGTGAAAGTGTTACAATACATATTCTTGACCATTTAAGGTGCTTGCTAAATGTAGCACTTTATTAAACATGGTATCAAATATGTATTAACTTACTTTCTCACGCTAACTGGCAATCACGACAATCAATATTATTGTACACATATAACTTCTAACATAAATATTTCAATTGCAATTTGAAACCAAATACTGTTAAGTACCAACTGAAACCAACTACTGTACAGGTAGTTTATGTGCTACTGTTGGTCAGTCCTACAGTATGTTTCATCTAGGGTCCTACGCACGTGAATCGAGTAGTCAATATAAATCACAACAGGTAGCCTAGTTAACACAAAGAGACAAAAATTTTGTAGTAAATATAATTCACTGACATCTTCAATAATTGAACAATGTTTTACAGAAATGAAATTTTCTAACATGACTTAACTTGATGGCAAAACATAAACTTAAAATGATTGTATGTACTGTGAAACTCAACTATACGAAGTGGTTTATATGTATAGTAGTAAATTGCAAATTTAGTGATAACGCACATCCTTTATGGTAAGGGAAAACTACATTTTAAAGTTAGATATTATGGCGGCGAACAACTACAAACACAACATTTGTGTAAACAAAACATTATTAACATAAACATTTACATGTTATTAGCGAATTTCCCTATAGGGAAGTAGCTATTACCGTAGGTGGCACGGTAAGACCTAGGCCCGGGACCGATTTACTTTTTCATTTTGATGTCCCCAGAGGTCAAAAACACCATTCGTTCAAATTTATATATATATATACGTCCGTGAACGCGATAACTTGAGTAATTTTTGTCCGATTTTGATGAAATTTGGTTTAAAGGTGTAAGGCGGGATAAACTTCAATGAGTTCGCGAACTGGCATGATCGGACCATGGGAACAGGGTTTTACGGGGACTTTTATGGGGTAAAATATGGGTTTTCTCATTTTTGGCTCTAAAAACACAAAATTTCCCAATTTTTCTCTAGATCGTTTTAAAGAGCTTAAAAAAACAAATAATTTAGTATATCAAAGTGTTTTGGTACGACTAATGGTCATGGAGAAAATTCAAAAAATTGTAAATTTCAAATTCCCATGTTATCCTTATGGAGATTGTTGTAAAATGTTGAAGTTTGCTTGTTTATGGATATATTTTGATAAAACTTGGCAAATTTGTTTATTTTATACTAAGCTATCAATATTTTACTAAAAATACACTTTATTAGTTTCCTTGTAGCAGCAAACCTAGGCACTCATTAAACCGTATGTTATTTAAATAGATTTAATTGAAAATAAATTCAGACAAATGGAAATTCGTTTAGTCGGCAGGTTTGCTGCGGCGGGGTATTCCATTTGAAACCAACTTTTCACCTTTTAGAAAAAACAACATGAAACTACTTTGGACTGGTTAGTACGCAATTTACACTTAATTTCTATAACACAGTGAAGTTAGCCTTACGTACGGTTATGGCCTCGACATCCCCTTCATCTCTTAATTATCTATCATTCTATTTAAATTCATTAATATCCGTAAAGTGGTTCAAAATATCAAAACAAAAAACGCGTTTATATATATATATATAGTATCAGACTAGTATTTATCCGGCACGCGTTGCAGTACTAAAAACTAACTATTAAATGTATACAAAAAATATAATACAATTTAAAAATATAAAATATAAAAATATAAATATTTAAAAATATAATGTAATTTTTATAAAGGTACAACAATTACACTTTTTGTATTACATTTTTTTTATTACTACAAACATAACACTTTCGGAAGTTTTACAAATAGGACATATCTTCGATGAGAAATTAACTTTATATATTTGTATTATTAACTACATAATTGCTACAAATAACATGACAAACACACAACAAACACAGATTGAATTTAATATATAGATAAATTTAATAAACCATCTTTTTAACATTAAATGCAAACTCAAAGCAAAGTCAATATTTATCAACAAATCTAGGGAATTAAAACGCGTTGTTTTTAGATTGACTGGGGATAAAAAGTAAACATTACACAAACACATTATATATAAATAAATATATGTATATGTACGTGTATATAATTGCAAACATATCAATCATTTAGAAACAACAAATAGGCCTCGGAAGGCAGGCGGTTGGGTTGACGACGTGACGGCGATTATTTGAACGCCTTCTATGTGAGGGACGCAATAGTTCATACTTTTGGACCAAACGAACTCGTATTAGAGTTTTGGATAAAACGACCCGATCGAATGATCCACAGAGAAACGTACAGTCTATTTCATAAGTTTACTCCACAATGCACAATTGTAATTCTGGTTTTGCCTGTACTTTTGGACCAAACGATTTTGGACCAAACGAACTGTTTTACAACTTGTGGACCAAACGATTTTGGACCAAACGAACTGTTTTACAACTTGTGGACCAAACGATTTTGGACCAAACGAACTGTTTTAAAACTTGTGGACCAAACGATTTTGGACCAAATGAAATACTCCCCAACTGGATGATAAAACGATTTTGGACCAAACGAACTGTTTTACAACTTGTGGACCAAACGATTTTGGACCAAACGAACTGTTTTACAACTTGTGGACCAAACGATTTTGGACCAAATGAAATACTCCCTTATATTTTGCATAAACTTTACATTCATATCTTTGTATACAGGGCACAGGGTATTTAAAATGGTGTGGACATGTAGCGATTCCTTGGGTCAAAATTTGAAAAATCAAGAAAAAAACTTTTCTTATTATTGCTTTGTTAACCTGATATCTGCCATTTTGTATTTTTTGCATACATACACATTTTTATCTTTGGATTGTTTCAACCAATCTTAATGATACTTGGTATATATGTTAAAGTAGAAAAGACCCATGTTAGAAAAAATTTTACCTTGGTCCAATTGAAAATTTTAAAATGGCGGCCAAATTTTGCGTATACATCCAAATTTAAATTACATTTACCTCCTATATTTAGAACACTAACGGATTAACATTTTTTTAAAGCTTTTAACTGAAAGTGAATAAAAGAAACGTCTTATAACACTTAAAACATATATTTACGCTTATACTGTTACTCACAAGACGGTAAATATACAAAAAAGGTGGTAACTGATGATCGATTTTGATTGGACACTCCAATCATCATCAGACCCAATAGGCGTCATTTGCCTATAACTATGTGTATTGCAGTTTGTATCGAACGAAATTTGTTCTAACGAAACAGTTAGACTATACCGATCAGAACTATATATCGATATATCGCATTGCCAAGGTTTTTATCCAAGCTGTTTTTGTTTAACAGGCCGAGGTGGTTGGGGCAGAGGAAGAAGACATGATAGTTCGGGTGAACCTCAGGCTAAAGGAGTCAAAACAACGTTTGATGATGATGACTAAACTACCTGACCAACAGAAACAGTTTTTAATGATATCCAGTAATTATAGTTTGTAAATTATTTGCATTAGAACTCCACTAGTTTACAGATCTCACATTATGATGAGAAATTGTTACATTTGGCTTGCCCTACTATGATTTCGTAGTTGAATATTTTAGTTTCTAAGAAAAGAACCCAACCTTGTTAAAACTTTTTGTTAGCTAAACAAACTGGATGTTCATTTTTTTAAATTATTGTGACTGATGTTTTTTTTTTATGATTTTAACAACTTCAAGTAATTAGTATTTGTGCTGTTTACTGTAAATATTCGTGGAATGGTGTTTGTATGAAAGATGTATGTTGATAATGATGAAAGTTATCAAAGAAATAATATCTTTTATTTATTTGATGTTTAACTTTTTTCTTTCCTTGACTATGCAATGGTGTACCATTTACTCGTACGTTAGTTATATTTTTTAGGAAAGCCTTTTATTCCATTCAACTAATTTCATTCTTTTACATTTAAAATTCGCTACAAATCTAACATGGTAAGGATCTTGTTTCATCAAGTCGAATAAAGAAACATCTTTATTAATTTTTTTTGTTCTATGTGATAATACTGAGGTACTAAATTTAAATTTTCAACCCCGGTGAGCTTCCGGATTACTTCCAAAAAGCATAAAAATGAGGGAATTTGGCACATTTTTACGTTTCTCCAATTTTGACCCTAAAGCTTACCGTAACTTTTTCATGAAAAACAACCATTATCATTATAAAAGTAAATTAAATTACCGGCACCTATAATTTAAGTCCAAAAAATGGTTATTACAGGCCTAATAGTTTCCAAGATTTAGCTATGGAAATAATAGTTTAAATTATCAAATTTTTACTTCTTTTAAGTTTTGCCACTTTTTGCCCTGAAGCACCACTTTTAGCGAATTTCCCATATAGGGAATAAGGTATTTATTTTTATTTTTTGCTTCCAACGGTCCAAACAAACCAATTTACAATTATGTTTACAATAAATATTCAATGTTACTAATATCTAAGGGACAAGCCAAACGTGCAATGGGACGTATTTGTATTACCGTAATACCCATGGTAAGACCTGGACTCGGGACCCATTTACTTTTTTGTTTTTTTACACCATCCTTTCAAATTCATATGTGTTTATGAATTTTCCTTTAAATTCATATATACAGGGTGTTGAAAATGTCTGGAACCAACATTATATCTGGTGAGTGGTTAAAGAAAAACAACTGATATTTTTTGTACGGATATACTATGGGTTTACCTATTGGTGCCTTATGAAAGTTTTTACCACTTATAGGGAACGTCCTGTGGAGGATTCAGTAAAAAGTTTTAATGGAAGCCTATGGTAAATGATACATCATTTTAAAGGCCATTTTTTTCTGAGTAAGGAGCCACAAGTTTCATCTCAAAAGGACCACCCTAGCAAAAATGGCGATTGTTTGAAATTTAAAAAACCACTTATAGGGAACGGAATTTTTAAATTTCAAACAGTCGCCATTTTTGCTAGGGTGGTCCTTTTGAGATGAAACTTGTGGCTCCTTACTCAGAAAAAAATTGCCTTTAAAATGATGTATCATTTACTATAGGCTTCCATTAAAACTTTTTACTGCATCCTCCACAGAACGTTCCCTATAAGTGTTTTTTTAAATTTCAAACAGTCGCCATTTTTGCTAGGGTGGTCCTTTTGAGATGAAACTTGTGGCTCCTTACTCAGAAAAAAATGGCCTTTAAAATGATGTATCATTTACCATAGGCTTCCATTATAACTTTTTACTGAATCCTAAACAGGACGTTCCCTATAAGTGGTAAAAATTTTCATAAGGCACCAACAGATAGGTAAAACCATAGTATATCCGTACACAAAATATCAGTTGTTTTTCTTTAACCACTCACCAGATATAATGTTGGTTCCAGACATTTTCAACACCCTGTATATATACAGACAGGGTGTCCCACGTAAGGTGTCGCAAACTGATTACAGAAGAACAGTCTAAGGAATAATTAAAAAATATTTTAAACTTTTTTTCCGATACAGGGTGTGCTAGTTTGAATCTCGGAATAAATCAGTCCTGGGTCTAGGTTTTACTATGAGACCCACAGAAATAGCTTATTTCCAAAAATGGAAATACACTAATAACAGACATTCATGGGAGTGAAAGTTAAGGTAGAAACAAGAGAAACAATCGGAATCGAAAGTACAAATATTTACTGGAAATCCACTCTTTCCTCAAGAGTAAAAAAGCACAACAATTAGACAAGTTGATATCAGACTGTACATTTTCCAATAATTCCATTGAGATGTATCACAGAATATTGTTACAATATGGAGTTAAGCAACAAAACCTAGTTAAGTACTTTGTTAATACAATTAATTACTAACAATAACAAAGCATAAGAGTAGAATTGCATATAATTTCAAAAATAAATAAGAAATAAGCTTATATACAATGAAAATAAGAATACATTTATACACAAATATCAACTTATAACCTTAAAGTACTAGCTTGAGGTTTAAGGGATAGGTTTTAAGTTGCAATAAATTTACAATTGAATTTGAAATTTGTGTACATTAGAGGTTTTGTACTCAATAAAAATGATAAACTAACTATAAATTACACAGACATAAGCTAATGAATCTCATTGTGGTATGGAAAAATAGCATTAGATTAGCTAAAAAACCAAAAAGAGCACAAAAATCACATCATCAAATACCACTGTAGAAAAATCTCAGTAGACCAAATAAATGAACAAAACATTTCAAAAAGGCCTTTGACTATACATACATGTATACTAGAATATACTGAATATCGATAGTTAGCTTACTTTAAATACAGTAATATAACTTGGAACATCAATTTTGGAAAGTTACAAAAGTGTTTAAGGCAGTATTGAGTACAAAATTAGCAGATAGTTTCTTAGAGTCAGGATAGATCACATTTTTCTTTTTCCAAACTAACCATTTAGAACTGCTTCACTTATAAGAAAATACTATCAGAATAGTTCCAGTCCTATATTTTACACTCGTTACAATGCCCTCTGTATCATAGCCTGCGTCGTGTGTTTGGCAGTTTAACAGGAGGTGACAGTCCCAGCTGACAGCTAAGCTGTGTGATAGCCTTACCTAGAATAACAATAAGGATCCTTTTAGACACAGAAGTGTAAAATACATTGTGAAAGCTAGAACTAAAAAATGTAACCTGAGTCATGAATATTATCAGTCGACAGTATGTAACATACAAATAAACTTAGACTACATCACAGATGTAAGATGGAGACAATGTATACATGACAAATATCAGTTGAATAACAATGTAAGTTACAGTAGAACCCCTAAAATCTGGCCTTGGTTTTACCGGTCCTCTGTTTATCCGGCCCCTTCCAGGAATAGTCCAGTAAAATAAGACATTTTAGTATGCAAAAGGTCGGGTAGTTCTGATTTTTGGATATGTTGTTAGTATTGGGCCCATAACATAAAATCCAAGTTATCCACCTCGAGATGCTGCCGCTCGCCGAGGGGCGCGCCACTTGTTATCGTAATATAAAAAATATGGCAATTCCTATTGTTTTTCACTCAATCTCGTGAACCGTTCATTTTACAGAAAATTTTATATTATTACATTAAAGAAGAATAAATTTGTGACAGTTTAAGCCCAACAGCAAGTATGTAGCGTAAATAATGGTCAAAATACAAACCATCAAAATAAATAACTTTTCCAAAAACCGATAAAAATTGTGGTTTTTTTTAAATATTTCCACAATATAGTTGTTTGAAGCAAACACCGTATTGATTTAGAGAGTATGCCAGTTTATTTGCTATTAATAGAAAATAAATGAAAGTATGAATAAAAATACCCCCACCTCAGCAAACCTGCAGACTAAGCGAATTTCCATTTGCTTGATTTGATTTTCACAAACCTATTTAAATAGGGAATGTTGCTGGAAGTCAACAGTCCCAGGAGATCAAATAATTTATACCTGTGCCGCTAGGTCAAAAACTACAATGTTTGCAGTGTCTGTAGATCAAAAGTCCCAGTAAGTCAAATAATACAGTCCGAGCTAAAAACGTGGTCTATGTTAAAGCAATTGACTTATTGGGAATTTGACCTAATGCAACAGCAGTTTTAATATAACGAAATACGTTAAAATACAAGTTCAGTTTCGCTGAGTCAACAGTGCCGGGAGATCAAAAGCAATAAAAGTGAACGTCGATTCAGTGTAAAGTAGACCTCCTGCAACGCTTACTACACCAACAAAACCCGCTTTTAGTTACTTCGTGTTTTGTCATAATTAGAATAGAGCTAAAATTATCATATTTGGTACATAGCTTATCTATTAATGCTTCTTGCCAACTGTTTGGTCAACACTGGAAATAGGTATAGCCATTCGTCAAAATTTGTGGCATAAAATACCCGCAAGGACGATCTTACTGAAAATTTCTGGTTATTATATACGTTTGTAAAAGGAGATCCATTTAATTGTAGAACTATTTTATGAGTTATAATGTAGTCTACATATAAACTGTGTAAATGTATTACGCCTCGGAAGGGTTGAAACCTTTCTAAACTATCATATATATTATTAAAACGTAAATGGGGGTTTTTCACATTCTGAATCAACCAGTCGACGGATTTTTGTTATTTTTGTGTTGAAAGAAAGATAATTTTGAGAACTAGGGAAAGTCAAAACCATAATAATTATAATTAAGGGTCCAGTTTTTTAGAAATTAAGTTTTAATTTTTAAAAAGTCTAGCAGCCGACACTAACCTTCTAAGCTAGCTTTCAGTACAATATAATTTGCTTAACATAACAGCTGTAAATAACATTCAGCATTTGTGACAAAAAATCAGGCATTTGGAAACAAATTTAAAGAAATATTTAGAGTTGACTTATTTATACTATGTTTAATACGACATGGTATATAATATATATATCCAATAATGTCAATTATTCAATTATTAGGTATGACCATGGCAGATTAATTAAATATGCATAGTAAAATAGTAGGATGTTCAAATTATTTTTTAAAGGGATCTTTGTAATCATCAATTTGTTTTGGTCCCATATAATTTGTTTTAACTAACAGCTGGTTGAATGTAATATTGTTCTATATAACTATTAGGTTTTTGGCGAATTTCCCATATAGGAAATAAGCTATTACCGTAGTACTTATGGTAACACCAATCGTGGTAACACCTGGACCCGGGACCGATTTAATTTTTTGTTTGGAGGCCCCTAGAGGCCAAAAAACCATCCGTTCAAATTCATATATACAGGGTGATCAACTCAAGGAGGCCACCATTGGGAAATCGAAAACGGTAAGAATTAGAGAAAACTTTAAATGGGGGACATTCCTTTATTTTTTGTGGCAGTTAAAAA